ATGGCTGTCATTGGATCAGCCAATTTATCACTGGATAAATTATAAATCAAGACTAAAATTATTAAAGTGAAAACGTTAAATATTTTCAAGGATGCTGATCCCGTGCAGAGAAACTTCAGTGTTTTCTTCCATTCTTAGAGGCTAAAAACCTATGAGTAGCCAATTGGGAAGAAGACGCGAGTCTCCCTGGGCCATCGGTTTATAACCCGCCACGAGAATCAGAACCTAGTGTTGATTTCTGGGCCTCCAAGCCTCGTTGGGAAATGCCACAGAATGGCCCCTTACCCTTGGGAGCCCCTGAAAACTGTTTCTTACCTTGTTTTTCTCAAGATCTGAGTGAAAACAACTCCCTTTATTAACAGTTGTTTTCTTTAATTTTCTTTCTTCTCTTTTTTCCCCCTTATCAAAAATGGTGCCTACTCCTAAGTATTACCCATGGTTTTCAATGTAAGAGGCAAAACTAGAAATTTCCTTGAGCTCTTTCACAAAAATCCTAAGAGAATTATTTGCGGCCCCTAAGAAGCCTTTATTAGAAATGCAGAAAAATAAACAGGCATAGGAAGGAGGCTCTTGCCTTAAAGTTGCAGCTGCTTTTAAGCCCATAAGATATTCAGACCGGTGAAACCTATAGAACATGTGGCATGCAATAGTTTCAGATGAACACAAACCTCTTCAGAGATCATTTCCCTATAGGAGCTGGAGAGCTTTAGGCAATTATTTAAGAACGCACTCTTGGAAAATTCCTACGTGCCCAGTGTTCTCTTGCCTGGCATTCTGACAAGGCTGGACTATGTACTGGGAAATACACAGGTTTTGGAGGAGATGAGAATTAGGGTTGAGTCACAACTCTTCACACCTAACACCTGGGAGACCTAGGGCCAATGAACAAGCCCTCAAGCCCCAGTGTCCTAGTAACAAGAGGAATAAACATTTTGCCTTAAAGATGATCAAGATGGCCATAACTTCCGCTCAGCATGACTAAACTTCAAACAGCCAAAAGAGACGGTCTAATCACATTGACCATCCTCCCCAGGGAAGGTCCCCCACCCCGGCTCACCACAGCGCTGAATACTCATCTGCCTTTTCAGTTGGGGAGAGTTCAGTCTTTTCCTTCATTGCTAGAGTCTTGACCCCTACTGCACTTGTCTTGAACAAAGTCATCCCTGCCTGTTGAACCTATCCGGTGCAATTTTTCTTTGACAAGAATTGTTATAAAGATGAAATAATACAGCGTATGTAAGATACCCAATGTGGTTACTTAATAGACGTTCCCTTCTCTCTCTCCCTCTCTTTCAAAACACACAAATCTCTGACCAGAGGTCCCTGAAAATCCCAAATGCCTCTTTTCAAAGATCAGTATAGTGTTATGATAGTGTAAAAAACTTTAAAAAAAATCCCTCGTGTGTGTGTATGGTTTTTTTAAATGGAAGAATAGACTCAAGGAATCTAACAGCAAGTTCTATTTCTAGCATTTGCTCAGTGGGCTTGAATGGCCCACACATTAACACCAATAAACAATGATGGGGCCTTGACAGGTGCATACTGGTCAGAGGACTGGAAAGGTCTCCAGCCTCAACACAGTGCCATCCACACCGCAGTAGAAAGGGCAGATCGGTTCCCAAAGCCAGACTGCAAGTTTTGTCTTTAGGAACTGATAAAATCATGAAGCAAGAACACTGCAATTTCATCACATCAGAAGGCTTTGGAGCACTGGGTATTATATGCAAACAATGAATCATGGAACACCACATCAAAAACTAATGATGTAATGTACGGTGACTAACATAACATAATAAAGTAAAATTAAAAAAAAAAAAAGGATGTGGATGACATGCTCAGCGGTATCAAGTGTAAATTCTCAAAGTACATTTTACTTTCAATGCGCTCCAGAGTTAAACCAAAGAAATCCTTCTTCCAAGTTGCTGAGTTAGGAAAGAATAAAATACAAGTCCCTTTCAGTTCGATTTTCATAAATATGAAAATGGTCTCCTCTCCTTTGATTCTTCACTGGGATCACTCCTAAGACTTTTTAGAGCCATTTTTTATACTCACTGTAATTAATCACATTTCTCTGGACTTTGCTACATGACTGTTAAAGGGGAATGCTGAAAGATACAATGTGAATTTTTAAATGAAAGTGCTTTCTCAAAGATGACTCTTCTGTTATGTAATAAGCAATCACGGACATACGAAGATCTTCTCTGTTGGGATATATGATGACTTTTTTTAGATGAGATGTTTTGCTACTGTTTTCTATCTACATCATCCTATCACAGGCTCCAGTTCAAATCTATTAACTGGCAATATTTATTTCTAAGAGTAATTAATCATCACAAGAGCAGGAAAGAGCATTGTGAATTATTTATAGTTGATATCTTATTTATCATTTTTTTAAAAGATCTGTTTATTTGAGAGAGAGAGAGTGAATAAGTGGAAGGGGAGGGGCAGAGGGAGAGGGAGAGAATCTCAAGCAGATACCCTACTGAGTGCGGAGCCCCACATAGGGCTGGATCCCACAACCCTGAGATCATGACCTGAGCGCTTAACCGACTGAACAACACAGGCGCTCCGATATCTTTAATATTTAGCATAGATTTTGAATACTTTTAATGATATGTTCTTACTTAGGTCCCGAATATTAAAAAAAAATGAAATTGACATTTACTTCCTCAGCCGAAGAGCACAAAAAAGGAATAAACAAAAATTTCAAGTTTGTTCAAGCTAGTCTGGAAAACAGAAGCTGATTCTAGAAGATAAACATAATAGAATATATAATTTTCAAAGAAGTTATGAAGAATGTTTTCTAAACATTGAGGATTGACTCCTCCTTCCATCCTATAAAAATGAAATAGACACTTGACGTTTGTTTAAAGCACATGTGGAAAGTATCGAAATAATGTATTACAATTGATAATAGTGGTAGAGAAGTAGAAATTGAGGGAGGTCATAAGAATATAAGATTTCTGACAATGTCAGGATATTATATTTGATACTTCAGCTTAAAGATACCATCAACAATCTGAATAACAGCTCCCTGATAATAAATTAATGTCCTAAAATTAGAGTAATATTCTATATTTGTAAACAGTTTAGAATTACTGATACCTAAGCACATTACTAACACTTAAGCAATACTCTTAAAATGCACACAATTCAACTTTTGGGTTTTGTCGCAATTTAGTATAAAATTTTACTTTTCACTTCTTGAAATAGACATTGACCCAGGGAATCACAGAAACTTTGAGAGGTAAGCTAATAGATGAAACACACATATTCCCCACTTTAAATTTACCTTAAAGGGATCTCTAGCTCAGGAACTCATTACCATTTTTTAATGCTGCATTAACCGAAACAAGATTTTAATGCTCCACTTAAGCTCTCTAAAATGTAGATTTCTAAATATCTCCCTGTCTCTTGCTCATATGAAAAAGAAAGGTGTAAATAGACTCCGTAAGTACTGATTTCATACTAGTGCAATTAGGATGAAATAATGAATACCAGATGGAGCATTTTTGGTACCATTTTTTGTTTACTATGATCCAGAGGTTTTTAAGCATGTGGACATCCCAGAATCACCTGAGTAACTTTAAAATCTGATGTTTGGGCCCCCCATGGGGCAATTCTGATTTCATTGGTCCAGGATGGGCCTCAGCGTGTAAACCTTCCCAGGTGATTGCGATGTTTCATCAGCACCAAGCAAGGGACTATCCTGAGTTCTAAAATATTCCTCAGCACAGTGGTGCTCTAGTTTCTATACCATGAAATGCTGAGTTTTTGGAACATCTATTCTCAGATTTCTTCATCTCTCCATCTGGAAAATAAAACCAGGTTCTCTTTGGTGCAGTTTGTACCACTCTTTTATAGGACCCCTGTACTCTTTCAGATTTGCCACATGTCCCTAGGCCAAAAAAGGAGAGAGAGAAAAAAAAAACAAACAAACAAAAAAACAAAAAACAAAGAACCTCAAGCCAATGAAGTTCATTTCCCATATTCATAGAAACCTTACTCCCATGACTATCCATTTCCAAGATCCAAGATCAGGTGAAAATTTCTCACAGCATTATCTTCCCCAGAATCCCCCAGAATCTACAGTGTCTCTTAACCTTCTCCACCACCTCCCTTGGGTTTTGCTTCTTCTCTTCCTTAAGAAACTTTTTTCCTAGGAAGTTCAGAAAGGACTGCTAGAGCCTGTGTTCCTATACTACTTCTGTGTTTCAATTTTGACAGGAAAAAAATTTCTGTGTTTGCTTAAACTTTGATGCATTGTCAGTATCTAATTCATTGTAGAAAAGTTCGAGGACACCTTGAGGTAGTATATGTGGAATCTTAAAAAACAAAAAACACCCAAGCTCATACATACAGAGAACAGATTTGTGGTTGCTAGAGACCGGGGCTGAGGAGAAAAGGATGAAAGGGTCAAAACGTAAAATAATAATAATAATAAATAATAAAATTTTTTTTATTTAAAAAAGAGAAAGAAATGAAGGAAGGAAAAAGGAAAGAAAGGAAAAGAAAAAAGAAGAAAGAATGAATGAAAGAAAGAAAGAAAGAAAGAAAGAAAGAAAGAAAGAAAGAAAGAAAGAAAAAGAAAGAAAGAAAGAAAGAAAAAAGATAGATTATGGTCCAAGTCCTAGAGAGGCTCACATCCTAGTACAGCAAAGAGCCATATATAAACTATTGTTAAAATAACATGCTAACCATACAATATAATTAAAAAAAAAAAAACTCTGAGGGAATACATAATACCGGGAAAAAAAGGAAAGAAAAGTTTCTAAGATATCTTGAGGTAGTATATACTGCCAAATCCAACCCCATTGCCCTGTTCTCCAAAAGATGAGTGTGTATAAAGTAATCAGCAGCTTTTTATATCAGCCCATAGGTTACAAGAACTACAGAGTATCTTCCCTCATTTTATGGATTAGGAAATTTATTACAACTAACCTTTATAACTGTAAGTTAAGTAAATGTCACAATTTAAAACTATCAATGAGGAAACTCACACAACTGAACCAAGGATATAAAAATAGACTTTTCAGATCTCTCTCCAATCTGCCCAAACACTGTAAGGAACAATGCTTTTAATAAGAGCAACAGAAAAAGCTATGAGAATAGGAAGTAATCGATACAACACTTTAAACTTTATTGTTTGATCTATGATTTCAGTCCACAGATACATATTGAGAAGGCTGCTGTATCTTCATCAAAGCAATTTTATCAAGCACTGGAGAAAGAATGTTGCCTATTCCTGGTTCACATGATAGCTAACTCTCCCAGAAATAAAACCTGAGGTTTATGTTAGCTAGTCTTGGGAAACACATTTGATGTAAATACTGGACAAAACTGGGGCGCCTGGGTGGCTCAGTTGGTGGAGCGCCAGACTCTTGGTTTTGGCTCAGGTCATGATCTCAGGGTCGTGAAATGGAGCCCTATTTCCAGCTTGGCGCTCAGCAGAGAGTCTGCTTGAGATTCTCCCCCTCTGCCCCCCCACTCTTGCTCTCTCTCTCTCTCTCTCTCTCTCTCCCCCTTTCTCTCTCTTTCTCTAATGAATAAGGAAATCCTTAGAAAGAAGAAGAAGAGAATACTGGACAAAACCATGAAAAAACAATACGAATTTTCTTAATGGGAATAAAAGTCATGTAACTTTGTATATTGATTCCAGTAAGTGGAAGCAGATTTAGGGTGGTTTAAGAATGTCTTGGGCACAATTCCAGTTGCAAATTGTTATTTACCTCTTTTGTTTTTGAATCTGGCACTGCGGTCCTTGCCAGCAGGAAGCTTTCATTCCTGTCCCCATTATATCATCCTAATGACTTAGATAGAGCTAAGGGCAAGGTGAATCTTAATTGCATGCAATTGAAAGACTAAATATAAGCCCAACTGAAAGCCTCATTCTTTCGGGAACATTTACAGGTAGAATTGTCTCTCCACAATCCCTCTTCTCTGCTATATACATCTGGGGAGGAAAAAGTGGCTTTTTCTCATGCTGTTAGTCAAAGTAGAGTGTACCTTCAAATTAAAAAAAATCGAAACATGAAATATATGATTGGTATGTTATAGAATCTTTGTTGAAATGATAAAAAGGACAAATCTTCATATATTAAGTGCGTAACCTTCATTTTCTCCCTTGTATTCTTGTATTCATTGAAGTACAAGATTTTAATTGCTCTTCAATTTCCTTTTCACTTCCCTTCCTTCTTCCTTTAGCCTAGCACTTTCTGCATATGTGACAGTACTTTATATTATTAGCTCACAATTTCTACTTGTTCTTCTCCTCTCTCAAGACTTGATTCTCACACACCAATATATGGCCATCTGTCTTCTACTGGAAAGTGCTTGTTTTAAGTTAATGGGAATAAATTTCTGGGGTGCCTGCGTGGCTCAGTTGGTTGAGCATCTCACTTTGATTTTGGCTCAGGTCATGATCTCAGGGCTGTGAGATCAAGCCAGCTTCCAGCTCTGTGCTTAGCACAAAGTCTACTTGTCCCTCTTCCTCCCCCTCAGCCCCTCCTCCTTGCTCCCCCCCCACCCCGCTTGTGCTCACTCATGTGCTCTCATGCACGCTGTCTAAATAAATAAATAAATAAATAAATAAAATCTTAAAAAAAAGGAATACATTTTATATCAAGTGAAGAAACTTACATTTCTGTACATGAATTTACATGAGTTTATTTGTCCTACTGGGAGGTCAATTTCCTAACCTACTAAGTGATGGCACTGTAAGTTTCTTCTACTTTGATACTGTATGTTATTTTTTTTAACCAGGGAAAGCAGATATCATAACAGCCTTTACATAACTTTGTTAATTTAAGAGAAGACATACTCTTTATATTTATTTACTAGTTAAGTACTAATTTAATTCCTATTTTTTCCATATACATCTTTATGTTTTCCTTTTTGAAGTTTTACCTGTATTGTACCCATTTTACCATTGTGGGGTTGTTAAAATTTTTAAATTTTTTATTTGATGAATGGATTGGCTGATTGATGAGGTAACGATTCAGCTAAATGGTGGGAATCTATGGAGCAAGATTTACAAAACCACAACAGAAAGGAGCAATTATTTCAGGCTCGGGGCACACGGCCAAGAGAAGGTGTGGCAATAGGAAATGAGTAATTCATGTCAGGGGGCCAGTCCTGGAGACCACTTGGCTGGAGCAATCTTACCAGTGTTGGGCTCCCTGGATTGGGAGGTTGTAAAAGTCCTTGGAAGGGTTTTTGCTAGAACTGCCAGGCCCACTTAAGAATTAAATAGCAGATTGTCCTGAGCTTTCGAAATTTCTCAGCTGAGATGAAATGATGAAAGAAAAAAATCTCTCCGTTGGATATCTACAGAATAGTGGACGTTCAGGCGAAAGGTCAAGTGACCGGGAAGGCAGCAAATGAAACATTGAAATTGAGAGGCTAAAAGCCTCTCTGAATAGAGTGTCACTGGGAATAAATTAAAAAAAAAAAAAAGGAAAGGAAAAAAAGGACAGTTGGCAAAAAATCCAAATTACTTGGATAAAAGGAACAAAGGAGAGGCAGAAGTTAAATACAGCTGAAAATTGGAGCTTTGATGCTCAGATTTATTGGGAAGTGATATGGAAGAGTTCTTTTTAATATTAATTCTCTGTAATGATAATTAAGTCCTCTCAGAAATCTATTTAAAAAAAATGCCAAATCTATAAAGAACTCATCAAATTCAACACCGAAAGAACAAATAATCTAGTCAAGAAACGGGCAGAAGACATGAACAGACATTTCTCCAAAGAAGACATACAAATAGCCAACAGATACATAAAAAATGTTCAACATCACTCGGCATCGGGGAAATACAAATCAAAACCACAATGAAATACCACCTCACAGCAGTCAGAATGGCTAAAATTAACAAGTTAGCAAATGACAGATGTTGGTGAGGATGCAGAGAAAGGAGAACCCCTTACCCTGCTGGTGGGAATGCAAGCTGGTGCAGCCACTCTCGAAAACAGTATGGAGGTGCCTCAAAAAGTTGAAAATAGAGTTACCCTACGACCCAGCAATTGCCTTACTAGGGATTTACCCCAAAGATACAAATGTAGTGATCCGAAGGGGCACCTGCACCCCAATGTTTATAGCAGGAATGTCTACAATGGCCAAACTGTGGAAAGAGCCTAGATGTCCATCGGCAGATGAATGGATAAAGAAGATGTGGTATACATACACAATGGAATATTATGCAGCCATCAAAAGGAATGAGATCTTGCCATTTGCTATGATATGGATGGAACTAGAGGGTATTATGCTAAGCAAAATTAGTCAATCAGAGAAAGACAATTATCCTATGATCTCACTCATATGTGGAATTTAAGAAACAAAACAGAGGAGCATAGGGGAAGAGAGGAAAAAATAAAACAAGATGAAATCAGAGAGGGAGACAAACCCCAAGAGACTCTTAATCATGGAAAGAAACTGAGTGTTGCTGGAGGTGGGGGGTGCAGGGATGGGGTAACTGAGTGATGGACACTAAGGAGGGTACATGATGTAATGGGCACTGGGTATTATATAAGACTGATAAATCACTGATCCTTACCTCTGCAACTAATAATACATTATGTTAATTAATTGAGTTTAAATTAAAAAATTAAAAAAAAAACAACTTGAGAGGAAAAAGGTAAACCAACTTTGGCTCAGTCAAATAAATAAATTGAAAAAAATAAAAAAACAGAATGTCGGTAGTGTATTTCAAATATCAAGTGAAATACAGTCATCATTTGGTTACAACTATGAAGTTTTAAAAAGGAAGTAAATACAAAAATCTCATTTTTGTCCTGAACAGTTTAAATTGGTAGGAAAAGTTCCAGATGATAATTTTGGACTTTTATTCGCAATATTTATTTATTTATTTATACTTAATCCATTAATTGCTATGATCAAAAACTTTAGTTCTTAGTCCTTCTGAATGGTACCTCACTGAAACATGTACTCAAATACATCAGGCTTCGTTTAAAACAAAACAAAATTAATGCTTTGTCAGATTTTAATAATATCATTGATAAATGATGTTTTTAATCACAACTGTACCATTTTTAATGATTTAATATCCTAGTCAAACAAACATGTTTAGAAGATTTACAAAGGCCTAATGGTATTAGACTTGAATTAGTTTGACAAATTATATTCTAAATGAATTTACTCATGTGCTATTAAATATTATCATAAAAAATTAAAACTAAGCTACATTTGTCAAAACAGTTTAATAAACTGTGCTTTCTGTCATAGTCACCTAGGATTTCCATAATGTTCATTTTCTGACTTGCTAATTCATAAAATTTAATAAATCAAAAATGAGACTTCTACATATGAACTGGCAAGGTTCTAAGAAAATCATTAGTTTCCTTGATCATAATAAGCATAAAAACATGTAAGTAAAATAATTACTTTATAAATGATGTGAATAAAATATCATTAGCATGAATTTAGGCAAATACAAATCAATCTACCTGATTAACAAGGAGCAGAGGAATTTGATAAAAAGTATCACAAAATGGTAACAATGACAGGCATTTGTTTGAGGTTTTACTGTTCATAAAGTACTTTCATATTCTTTAAATTATTAGGGCCTTATGACAATATGTTGGAAGATAGGACCCTTTAGAGCAGAAACAGAGAAAGATATTAGGGAATTGGGAAGTAGTGGGGGATGGTCAAGTGTGTCTATGTGACTCTAGCAGAAATAAAATGTGTGAAAGGGGCAATGTGGGTAATAAGTAGAGATCTAAGACCATGTGAAGGAATAGACAAAAGAAAGCAAGGGAAATGCACATCATTTCTATTTTGGGGACCTCAAGAGAGACATGAATTAAGAAGCAGTTGGAATTGGGACAAATAAATGACATATGCAAAGAATGAGGTGGAATAGTTTGGTGATTGTGCCTATCCAGTAGCTTGTTGCATCCTGAAGTCGCCTGTCTGTGGGGGTCTGTCTATTTTACCTTTCAGCCTCGCTGCCTACAAAAGAGCTTAAGCGTATGGTCCTGATGTCTTAGAAGTT